CTTTCGAAGTATCAAAACGTACCAAGGCACAGTTCATGGTATTATTTCTTTTGAGAACATTACATCTGATGTTAACTTTCTGAATCAGACCATGTTTCCTTTTTGTCTTTGAGGCTGACGGACAAGGGAAGGACTGGGAGAAAAAAAAAAAAAAAAAAAAAACAGAAAAATTAGGCATCAGTTTATAAAGTTTGATTGAGGGATTCATTTTTTTTTTTATGATTTACCAACCTTTTGCAGGTTATTTAAAGCCAGAAAATATTTTTAGATTGTAAGAATTTTTTGGAAATAATAATTGATAATAATGATTTCCTGACAGAAGTCCTACCACTGGAGGAGAGAGGTAGATTAATCCCTTTTCAAAGGGTACTTGAATATATGTGAATATAATAAATCTGACTGGAATTGCAACTGAGCTCCTCAATTTCCAATTCCAAGTTGTTATTCATTATAACACCTACACATACAAGCTTACAGCACCTGGTATTCCCACACCCATCTAGGTAGTGACCAGGGTTGACATTGCTTAACTTTGGTGATTGTATGAGTACCAGTGTTTCAATGTGATATGGGTGTAAGCCATACCACTTACACATCCAAGCTTACAGCACCTGGTATTCCCAAGTGGTCACCCATCTAGGTAATGACCAAGCTTGACATTGCTTAACTTTGGCCATCATAGGTGATTATCATGTTTTCCACTGACATAAAGTGGGACGATTATATTGAATCATTAGATTTGTTGCTAAGAATGTTGGTGCACTGTGTTGTGCCAGACAATTTTTCTGATCTGGTGCTCCAGCTATATATCTTGTGATTCTTAACAAAATCCAAAGAAGAATCTGCAAAATTATCAGTCCTGATCTGGCATCTCGACTTCAATCCCTCTCCCCCCCCACCATAGCATAGCTTCCCTGTGCCTTTTCTATAAATATTTTTGTAACAATATAGATGAAAATTTTGTGGCATCAATCTGGATCACAGGTTGCAATGAAAATCCATTTAATATATATATGAATAATCTTTAGAAAGAAACAAACATAGTACTTGCTTAGTAATTTAAACTCTTTGTTAGTTAAACATTAGTGAGTTTGGAGCAAAGATATAATTTGCTTTCAGTCGTACTATTCCGGGTATAAAAAAGTTAATTTTAGTTCTTGTGTATAATACACATTGCTTACTTACATTATTTTACATTATTTGGATTGTTATCCTCATCTTTATTGCTATATTCACAACATTTTGGCTGTTGTACACTCCAGCCTTCTTCAGGTGATTAGAATTTCAAACCGAACCCCTTATTTTGTCCACCAGGGTAGATTGTTCTAGTTCCACATGCTATACCTCTTCCAGATGTCTCAGCAGAATTAGAACAATCTACCTGATGGACAAAATAAAAGGTTTGATTCGAAATTCCAATCACCTGAAGAATGAAGATGAGGATAACAGTTCAAATATTGTAAATAATGCAAGTAATCATAATACCTCATCTCAGAGATATAGACAGATACATAGAGAGACATAGACATAGAGGCCGAATTGTATAATGGCTGAAATGTGAACAATGAAGATGAGGATAACAGTTCGAACAATGTAAATAATTTAGGTAATCATAATACCTCATCTCAGAGATATAGGCAGATATTAAAAATTGATTCTTACCAAAAGTTCACCTTGGTGCTTCTTTTGAACAAGGTAAAGTGTTGATTCCTTAAAACCTTCTATTTGTGGAATTCCGTAGGTCACGGCTCTAAAAATAAATATAAATATATGTCTGCATATGTGGAAATTGTATGACAAAGTGGAAAAAGTTTGTCACGCATTTCATTCTTCAGGACTTCATCGGACTAAATTTTGTTATATTGGTAGGACTACACATGCACATGACAGAGAGGTACTGGGAATTTTAGAAATTTCTTTTTTTATCTAGCCAAATTCATTTAGTCTTTTTCTTTCTATCACTTTTGTAAGTAGGTATTCCACACTGTGATATCAGATCTGCCAGGAATGATGAAATGTTGTAAGAGCCAGGGCGCAAATTTACTGTAGATGATCTTGCAATTAAGGCACTCTTCAGACATTTTTGTTGTAGTGAATTGTTTTTCTCATTTGATCAGAGTAGCATTTTTTATGTCAAAATTGTGGTCAGTCTCATGGTGAGCAACTAATGCATTTGACATATTATTTTGTAAAATGTCCCTTTTGTGTTCATCTAATCTTTTATTTAGATTCCTTGAGGTTTCTTCTATGTATTTCTTTTGTGACAATTATTACAACTCCTCCTTAAGGTTTTCGATTATTGTTTTGTTTAGTATTTACTAAGTCTTATTGTTTTGGGTATAGTAGTAACAACTTTTATGTTCAGTTAAGATCGATTCTTTTCAATTGTAGATGTGATAGAATTAGTAGGCAGGAAATATATTTTTTGTATTCATTGGGTTTCTCAGAGGGGTCTAATTTTTTTTATTATGGAATATTTTATAGCCCTTTTATTTCACGCTGAATATAAAATAAGTTTGCAACTGAAACCGTTGAGAGGAAGGCCCTGAAACGGTGCACATTCTCTCCTGATGACCCCAGTTTAAAATTCAAATTCAGTGAAGTCATATGCCGTAGTGAAGCTCAGTGGAAGTGTCATTGGCATGAGGAGCATTACACATTCAGCTCGCTTCAGGTGAGTTTCAATTACTTTCCAGTAATTTCCTTCTTCCTCTTTTATTTCACACTGAATATAAAATAAGTTTGAAAGTATTTTCAATGTATTTCTCCTCTTCATGTAAATAATCCAAGCTGCATATTCTTAGAGTTCTTACATAGAATCCAATGATTATGCTGGATTTTATTTTGCTATGTGTGTGTGTGTATATATATATATATATATATATATATATATATATATATATATATATATATATATATATTGTATTTAGACAGCAAACCCTCTTTTATACATGTTTTGTTAAAGATGACTGACAAGGTACTGCAATTAAGCTTTTTATTTAATTTTTCTTGTGTTCATACAGATGTTTTCTTTTCTGGACACAAAGTGTGTAAAATCTGTCTTGCTCCAAAGAAAGCCAAGGTTGTTTCCACTGTAGGGAAGGTGATGGGGATGCAAAAGACATTGTGTTTATTGACTATCTTCAAAAGGGCCACACCATCAATGGAGAGTGCTATACTAACTTGCTGAGGCAGTTACAAAAGGCTATGAAAACCAAACACCCAGGAAAAAAAACTAACAAAAGGAGTCTGGTTTCATCAAGACAATGCTCCAGCACACAAGTCACTAGTTTCAATGGTTGCTGTGTGTCACTGTGGCTTTGAACTAGTTGATCACCCTCCCGATTTTTCTGGTTTGGCCTGATCTACCATCTGTTTCCTCAACATAAAAAACACTTGGCTGGGAACCAGTATCGCAGTGATGGTGACATCATATCTGTTGTTGATGACTTTTTGACCAACAGGATGAAAGCTTCTTCACCAATGGGATCCAAATACTGCATCACCGATGGAAGAATTGTGTGGACCACAAGGAGGACTATGCTGAAAAATAAACCTCATTTGGTCACATTCCATGAATGTGCCTTGGTCAGCCTATGAACTTTTCAGTTGGCACTTGAATAAGATATATATCAAAAGCAGACAATGTAAGTTTCATAAAGACATCTAAGTCAATCCAGAGCAGCAGAAATAATCTATGTTTGGTCTGTTGATCAATAGAGCTGAGTACATATTTGCAAACTCCTTTAACTTTCTTATCTTCCCTATTATTATGACTCCATTCTATAAGGCTTGGTTTGGTCCTTTTTTCCCTCCATTCATAATCAGCACGCTCACTTTTGTTACTTTGATCTCTATGTTCTATCTGGACTATTTAGGGCAAGAGAAACATGGTTCTCCACAACTTCTTATCCATTGTAACTCTTCACTAGTCAAATCTTTAAAAATTCAATAAGTGTCAGAAAAAACAAAAAAAACACGAGAATCAATCAATTTAAATACAATGATCAAAACAACAAAGATGGAGATACAAGTTTGAATCATTTGACACATCAAGTGTACAATGATTGCAAAATGAGTAACTTGCGTATTCCTAGCTAGGGGTTAAATTGCAAGGTAGACTTGGCTTCCTAGCCTTGTGTGATGATCAGTCTAGGAGAAGGACAACTGTGACTTCAAAACTGGAGGAGGCAATGGAGAACCACTCCATCTTTCTTAACAAGTCATAGTAATTCAAAGATATTCAAAAGAGAGAAGATGTGAAGAGCCATGATTTTCTTCATATCCCTTCAGGGTTTGGGCAAAGTAAAAAAAAAAAAAAAAATTAAAAAAATGTACAAACTTACAAATATGTTTGATAGGGTAATGCCATACTCTTGGAACGGTCAAGTGCTTGTATCACTGCATCTTTCGCCTTTGTGTTTTTTGCCATAATTAGGACACCTGCATAAAACCTACGAGGACAAGCAACAGAAATCATCAGCAAACTTCAAGAGTAAGTGTATCAAAAATATATTTAAAATGTCAAATTTGGTTTCTCTAAATCCGTACTTTTTAAAAATTTCACTCCTAACATTCTTATGACCTCATATCATACTAGTATCAGTTTAAACTGACACCTTTTTACCATATATATATATATATATATATATATATATGTATGTATGTATGTAGTGTGTGTATTTAGGCAGCATTTTTTCATTGATGCATGTTACATTAAATAATATAGACAAGTGTTGTCTATTTTATGTAAATTCTTTTCATATCATCTGATAAGCTTAATAAGATTATCATTAAACGAAGAAAGAAAATCACAATATTGATACATATTTTGTAATCCTAGCTATCTTTCAGCTTACATAAGCCATTATCAAAGATGACATTTAAATACCAATATATTAAGCAATACATGGACAAGACAGTGATGATAGTGTATTTCTGTTTACAGGGAAGATATATTGAAAATATATTTGTCAAAGGACAATTATGAATAAAGACAAAAAGGAAAACTAAAAAATAAATTCAAACACACTTTTAATGTAAAAAATTTGACACTTATTAAAAGAGAAATGAAATTACTTAGACTGAAAATTCTTGAGAGTGCCACTATCAAATGTTACCAAAATATAAATCTGTGCCCTAGATTTTTCAAATATCTCCATTCCTGAAAGAATTACTTCTTCCCCAAGATAACATACATGACTATAAAAATGTTAAAAATTTTTTAAAAGATAACAGCTAAATCCAAAACATATTATTTAAAATATATAATACACAAATTAATCTCAAACTAAAATAATATAAATAATAATTACATTATTAAAAAGAAATTCAACATTAACAATATTCAACAATATATAGTTCTGAGGTGATAGTTTTCTTTTTAGCATCACTTAAACTGCTTTTACGGCCCATCTTTTTACTAAATTCTTATACTTTTCTAATAATTTAGCACGCTCAAATCACCGTGCTGATAACAAATATGGCACCAGTTTGTTTACATTGCGCAGATCAATACGAAAATTTCAGTGATTGCGCAGGTTAGTGTTGCGAACATTGTGTGAAAATTTTGTGTGAATTGATTGGACAGTTTTTGAAATATTAGAAAAAAGTTATCTCAATAATAATTTGGCACGCAGTGTGTGTATATATATATATATATATATATATATATATATTATATATATATGAGAGAGAGATATGTAGGAGTTGAGATCAAATATAGATCCAAAGAGAGACAATCTGTTAACTTCTTGAAACTTAGAAAGGACACTTCATCTCTCCTTGAATTCGGAACACCACAAATTATACTAACATTGGTTCAACAAGTCAAATGCACATGAAGTCTGATTAACCAATGAGGATCAAACAACACGAAAGTAAAAATATCAGAATTTCTTTCTTCCTTTTCCTCCATATCTCATTCTATGATGAAGCTTTAATAAAAGGGAAACATGTTAGATCGATAAACGTCTCCTATTTGTTCAACGACAAAATTATTCGTACACCCGTCAACTTTGAATATTTTTATCCATTTCTCAGAATCTAATGACCGTATGATGCCAGGTTTTTTATATGTTATTAAGCACAAAAATGGAATATAAAACTCAATTTTCAGAACAATTGGTTAAATACAACTTTGACAGACTAATAATGTAAAATAGGAAAAAACAAAATTATTCATACAGTAGAAAGTATCATTTTAAATTGATTGATTCGCTTAAGTATAAGTAATTTACATAATTATTTTATCAGTGAAGCCTTCTAGACTATTTATTCAGTAGAATATCAAAGAACATCACATGAAGACAAAGGAGCTTGACTTAAGAAAGAGAATTATTAACTCTCACAAGTTGGGAAATAGTTATAGCAATATTTTAAACCAGTTACCTAACCCTGGACCTATGGTACAGTACGCTATAAAGAAGTTTATACAGTTTGGCATGATAGAGAATTAGCCTGGGCATGGAAAAAAAACTAAATTTGGCTTTCTTCCAAAGAACACAGTGGCAACATTAAAACATGGAAGCGGCTCGATGATGATTTGGGGCTGTTTACGCTCAAAGGGGACTAGACAATTGCAATAAGAAGAATAAGGAAATCTGAAGAATATATCAAAATTCTGGATGAAAATCTGCAACTATCAGAAAAAAAAAACTTCATCTGGGTCAGCAATTTACTTTTCAGCAAGATAATGATCCCAGACAGACATCTAAATCAGTGACTGCAGGGCTTCAAAAAATAAGATTACAGTTCTGTCATGGCCTTCAATGAGTCCTGAATTGAATCCTATTGAAAATCTATGGCAAGAATTGAAAGTTCAAATAAATCATCGGTGACCGAAAAACTTCAGGAAATATAACATGTAACCATTGAAGAATATCCCAGAAAAGACTTATTCAAATCTCATCAAAAACTTTAGAAAATGATTGCAGCAGGTAATAAAGAGGCCATGCTATTGACTATTAATATTGTGAATTTTTTTCTATTTTTCATGCTGTACGAATAATTTTGTCTTTTACTATTTTGCATAATTCACCTGTCAAATTTGTTGTATTGTTCTGAAAATTGAGTTTTATATTTGTTTTTTGTGCTTATTAAGAGACAGAAAAAACTGGCATCATACGGTCATTAGATTCTGAGAAATGGATAAAAATCTTCAAAGTTGATGGGCATGCAAATAATTTTGTTGTTGACTATATATATATATATATAATGAAAAACAGACCACTTTAAGGTACCATTACAATAATTTATTTCACCAAAATCCTTTTTAAGGGACTCCAGATCATCAGGTAACTCTTCCAACAATGAAATGAAAGGAAAAATGGGATTAGAAATTGATGGGTAGTGTAATTTTTATAATTTAACAAGGGGGGGTGAGAGTGGCAGTTACAGAGACAAGATAGAGTATAGGGAGGGGTTAATTTCATATCTCTCTTAAGTATGCTTTATATTGGGGTATGAGGAGTGACTGAACCTTGACCTATTTAGACGGTTAACTTAACGGAAATGATATGTAGGAAAGGGAATGGAGAAAAGAAGGGGAAAAAGAAAGGAGATAGACGATAGTAATACAGATATATCCAAATGAGTGTTACGGCAAAGAGATAGGGGGAGAGGGAAGTGAATCGAAAGAGAGAAAAATGTGAAAAAAAGGCAGACGTATCCAAATGAGTGTTACGGCAAAGAGATAGGGGGAGAGGGAAGTGAATCGAAAGAGGCTGTAATTTTGTTTTAACAAAATTACGTAAAAGATAGATTCCAATGCTTGATAGAAATTTAGATGTCTAAAAAATGATGAATGTTATTAATTTAAATATTTAATTTTTTAAGTAAATACTTTAGGGACTTAATATAACTTAACTACTATTATTATTAGCATATTTATTGGGAACATATTAAAGAAATATTTAAAATTATAAAGGTTTAATTACCCAACCAATTGTATTTCCATAATATAGAAAGAAAATTACGGTAACAATAAAGTCTATATTATTTTAACATTTAATCTAATTTATGAATGCAATTTTTATTTATTATTATATGGGTAAGCTTAATTAAGGTTTAGGTTTCATTATTTAATAAGATTTGAGGGTAATATTAAAGATTTTGTTTTCTTCTTATATGTATCTCACAAACCTATTCATGTAAATCCATACATACATACACCTATTAACATGTGCAAATACACACATAGACACACGTGTAACAATATACACAAATGTTCATCCATCTCCATACATAAATTATATATATATATACATTTCTCAATCATTACCTATATTTTAATATTTGAAATTTATTTAGATTTTAGTTTGATTCTATAGTTAAAGTTTAACTTTAGGTGACTTCTGAAGTGCTTCATTATTAAAGGAATTTCGTTAATATTATTATTACTATTAATAGTTAAAGAGTGGGATATTTAAATTTAAATTATCAATTTTAAGATGAAACTCTCTTAAGAAGATAAAAATAGACTCTCAAAATTCTAATTATAGAACATTAAAAGAGAAAGTGATACTAAATCTTAAAAAGAGTAATTTTAAAATACCAAGAGAATGACCCAAGTACTTCCATTTAAAAATATTCCATACACGTATAGACACATACATACATATATATATATATATATATATATATATACACACACATATATATATATATATAACATATCTATTTATCAATCTATTTATATATCTATCTATCTATATATACACATATACACACCCTTATATACATATACAACCATATACATACACACATACATACATAAAAACATATACCTACATATATACATACGATTATATACATAAAGAAGCATATGAAAAGAATTTTACCCATAACTATCCACACATGCATATGTATTTATATTACAATGTTATACACTCATTCACACATATATATTACAAATATTAATTCTAAGGTAATTCAAAATACTGCACATATACAAATATATGTACACACATATATATCCGTACATATACATACCATATACACATACATCTACATACATGCACAAATACACATCTATACACATACATCCACACATATGTAAAATACACACACACACATATATATATATATATATACGATACCCAGCACAAAAATAACGTTAGTATTCAAACATACCCCATACTTATATATTTATACTCACACATGTATACTCAACCATATGCATATATATATATATATATATATATATATACTTATATACATATACACATACCCCCATACACATGTGCCCACAATTAAAAAATTACATATATCCATATAAGCACCCTTATCCATAATGTTCATACATGTATATATATAAATAAATTCACATATAAAATGTCTGATTTAATCCATGCACATATCAACAAGCACAGCATCCATGTATTCATACATTCATTTCAAAAAACAAAATCCATATTTCCTCTTTTTTGTATCTAAACATACTTAGTTAAATTGAGGTAGTTTTTGTGTCTACATTTACAAATCAACTCGTTATGTCTGTTCAATAATATGTCTGGATCCTTATGCTTTATTATTAAGATTTTTTCCATAATGCACAAATTGCATTGGTCTCTGAAGTTTATCGGAGTCCTAGCTCTCGAGACGATTCTCCATTTTACTTGTGGGGTTAATTTGCTTTCCAATAACTCCCAATAATGTTTAGAAAGTGCAGTTTGATGTTTCTTTGATTTATTAGTGAAGGATATATATATATATATATATATATATATATATATATATATATATACATACATACATACACACACACACACTATAATTTTGGGAAGTGAAGTGTCACTGAAATATGTTGGAAAACTTAGAAGTTTTCAAGCATATTTCAGTGAAATTTTCAGATTGATTTGTTGAAATGCATATCAACACCTTCATGGGTCATTTAATGCCGAAATTTGATTTTCTTGGGAGTTTTGAATAAAAATGTTATTCTACTTTCACAATGGAATACATGGTAGATGATGTGCAGCTTTTGTGCATATAGATGTTTGTCTGGACATAATTATTAAGGGCAGTGATATGTGCATTTTACATTGTAGTTTTGTTAAAGTCATATTTTAGAATACAGTTTTAATTTAAGTAATTATATGGTATTAAACGAATTAATGTCACAAAAGAGTTTTTTCATGTTGGCTGTTTGGTTGGTTGATTTTTTTTAAACCTATTAGATTATTTAATGCCAGAAGCTAAATATTCTGAAGAACAATCATTTACCTTCAACTACAGATGTATTGTTGGTAATTCTATGAGTAAAGGGTATTGTTGGTATTTTTTTTTTTGTTATATAAAAAGTATTGTTGGTATTTTTATACTTTATTCATAGAGTTTTGTTTTTGTCTGGGGTTCCCTATCTGCCCATAGCTAGGACCCTAACATGTGCTACCACTCCGGATCAGGGTGGACCTTGAAACAACAGCAATTAAGAGGTGTTTCCACACTCCTTAAAACCTCCAATCTTCCAATCAGACACCTTGCTGCTGGATGGAGATTATCGTCATACTCAGGTCTACAGTCTAAAAGAAGAAAAACTCTAAATTCCAAACAGTAGTGTAGGAAATGAGAAAGCATAACACCAGCTTTCCCAAGAATCCATGGCAATTCACAGATAGTTAAGATAATTCTTTGGAGAATATTATTGCCTATGCCCTTAAGGAGCATGACATTAAACAGTAGCAATTAAGAGGTGATGCCATGCTCCTCAAAAACTCCAATCTCCCAATCAGAAACCATGCTGTTGGATGTAGTTAATCATCATACCCAGGACTAAAGTTTTCACCTGAAACCAAGAAGATACAAACTTTAAGCAAAACAGTCACAGCATCTGGACAAAAGATGGCATCAGTTGAACATCTTCAGCAGGTGTCAGCTTAAACTGATGTCTCCTTTTCACCCCCATTAACTAGACGATAATTATCATATTTCAGTTCTGCTTTTTTCTTCATTAGTTAGTAAGTTACCACATGTATTATGCCCTACTATTGCAATAGGTAAATAATGGACCATTCCGTCATTTTGTCTGTGAAAAAGAAAAAATATCAAAGAAACTGGTTTTCATGAGAGGAAAAAAAGCATACATAATTAAAAAAGAAAAAAATGAAGATAGAGAAAGCAATAATGCTCTCATGTTTTTAACATCTGCTTCAATGAAATGGAAACCGGATACTTTTGAATTTTTTCATTTCTACCCTCTGCTTTAAATAATGACCAGCATTTATGATTGTTATTGCAATATTTTGTTAAAGTTGTCAAGCGCAAATATTTAAAAATGCATCAAGGGAATTTCCACAGCAATTTTTATAGTCATGGAACTCACAAGAGGCTTATTCAATCATTAACTTATGATTCATAATTAAGCATCTTCCCATGAACTGCTACTTTGTGAAAACAACTCCTAAGTGGATGCTCTCCCAAATACTACAATCTTAACAACTAGGGCTATCCATTATCTTTCCCTTATATCCTCATAAACTGTACTTCTTAAGCTTACTACTCATACAATGTCCTTCAGTAACGCTCTAACTGGAGTGGCTCTTGAACCTTGTATTATTAAAGAAAATTCTAATAGGAAAATGGTGAAATTTTCATTGGTATGACTAGTAAATAATGATTTCACAAAATGAAAATATCACAGGCTCCATGTGCAAATTACAAATTGGAGATGCTGAAATCAAACAAGTACAAAAATTTAAATATCTAGAAAGTGTTTTATCAGATGACAGAAAATGCGACCACAAAATCAGAAGGTACATTGGAATAATGAAAGATGCCTTCCAAATGTTTACCATTCATCCATGCTTTGCATATTGCTGCCACATCTGGTCTGGTGTTCTTGCTATATATTTAGAGATTCTTGATAAAATCTCAAGAAGAATCTGCAATGTTATTGGTCCTGACCTGGCATCTTGCCGCCAGTCACTTTCCCACCACCATAACATTGCTTCCCTGTGCTTTTTCTATAACTACTTTCATGGTAATTGTTTTACTGAACTTTCCTCTATGGTAGCTTGATTTTTTTAATTACAGTACCAAATTGGCAGCAAGGTCTAATCATTTTATGGATGAAATGGCTAGATGTAACTGTAAGTTCTATGCTAGCAGTTTCTTCTATCGCACTTCTTGCTTGTGGAACCTTCTTCCAGTTTTCTTGCTTTCTAGTCAAGTTTGAACTTCAAAAAATTTAAATGCAATATCAATCGTTATCTCCTATCTTATTATGTTCTCTCCTTAAAACCATTGTTTTCTCATATTCTCTCACACTTAGTAACCCCTTGTGACTTAGTGGCTTTATTGCCTTGCTTGGGGTGAAATGATTAAAAGATAAATTTTTTAAATAAAACTAAGCAAAGTATTAAGAAACAGGAAAATTTCATTAGAAACAAAGAAAAGAGTGTTGGATTATGACATAATATTGGTCCTTCTATATGGCAGTGAATGCTGACCAATCACTTCATAGATGAAGAAGAAACTAAAAGCAAGAGAAATTTGTTCCTACAGAAGGATGCTGAGAATACCATGGACCAAACATGTGAGCACCAACAAAGTTTTAGAGAAAATACAAACAAAGAGATACTTATATTTAACTTCATAAAGAAACCATTGAAATTTCGAGGGCACATAATGAGGAAAGAAGGCTTGAAAAATATGACACTCACAGGACATATTGAAGGCAAGAAGGACAGAGGAAAACGGTGCATAACCTAACGAGCTTCTGTAAATGGATGGCAGAACAGGTTTTAGGAGAGATAGCAAAAAGAAATCACTAAAAGCTACAAAGAGCAGGAAATAGGGGAGAGACATGATCTCCAACGTCTTGAAGGGAAACAGCACATAGAAGAAAATTAGAAATTTAGTATATGAAACCCAGCTCTATAATTAACAATTCCAAGCCAGTAGCTATTACACCACCTGCACATCCAAGCTTACAGCACCTGGTATTTCCAAGCAGTCACCCATCTAGGTACTGACCAGGCTCGATGTTGCTTAACTTTGGTGATCGTACGGGAACCTGTGTTTCAACGTGATGTGGCCATAAGTCTCAAAGAAAGATGCCAAAAAACAGAAATCAGATCGCTTGAAAACTTTAGCAAGCAACAACAACTAAAATGGTTTGGATATGTAATTATAATGAAAAAATAATGATGTCGATCATCCACACTACCAAAAACAAAAGGTTAGAAAGGAAATTTCCATCAATACAAGAAAGAGTGAGGTCAACTGAGAAGCCTATTTTTTTTTTTATAAATTTCAACCGACTGTAATATCATTCAGTCAACAAATGCTTCCATAATCATATCTGATGTTACAAACGTGTTTTTCAGAAGGACATTTTATAATAACTGAAGGACAAATGCTTACACTTTGATTGAATGAGTGATTTGCAAATTCGGGCATTGAAAATGTTGTCTAAGCATTGGCATGATATCTGCAATACATGCGTACGTCTGCGGAGGTAAGTCAGGATAAATTGGAACGCCATAACCAAGTTCGTCTTCCTGACCAGGAACTGTCTGACCTTCAAAAAAAAAAAAAAATAACAACAAAGGAAAAATGATCATTTAAACATGAAACAGTAATACAATGTCATAGGTAAAATGAAATTTCTGTTTGAATTTCTGGAATGAGGAAGTATCATTATTTTATTCCATCGGTCTAGTTCAGACATTCATGACTATTGCACTAATCATCAATGCCAGAAAGTTATTAGGGGTAGCATTCTATGTCATAACATCACTCATCAAAGTAGGTGGTTGCTGGGCAACCAACACATCTTGCTCTATAGCTAAGTGTCCAGAGAAGTAGATCACACATTCATGCATCTATCAAGACAAACATCACAGTCCTGCATCAAGGTTGGAAAGTCATTAGAGCAGCATTCTGTGTTATAACATTGATGGTCAATGTAGCTGGTTGCTGGGTGACCAACGCGTCTTGCAACATGGCTAAGTGTCCAGAGCTACAGACCACTTGCGAGTTCTTGTTTTATTCACCAGCAGTGCCCATTCTACATTTTTTCCTTTCTCACCCCTAGTAGCAGAGATGTTTATGATTCAAAGAGATTTGTGTGAATTTCATTTTGGTGGACCACTCTGTATAACAGAGAAGTCCACAAACTTGACCAGAAGTACATACTTCATGGCTCAAAGGGGAGTGAGGCAAGTGAGATTTGGCAAACATTGTTGAATCAGGCTGTCAGCTGTGCTCTGTCATGGTCTGACTTGCTTATGCAACTGGCAACGAGGCCCGCCTTGCTTATACCAACCCAACTGGCAACAAGGCCCGCCTTGCTTATAACAACCCAACTGGCAACAAGGCCAGCCTTGCTTATACCAACCCAACTGGCAACAAGGCCAGCCTTGCTTATAACAATCCAACTGGCAACAAGGCCAGCCTTGCTTATAACAATCCAACTGGCAACAAGGCCAGTCGTGCTTTATAATCCAACTGGCAACAAGGCCTGGCAATCCAACTGGCAACAAGGCCTTGTTTATAACAATCAACTTGCAACAACAATAACCATCCAACTGGCAACAAGGCCAGCCTTGCTCATACCAACAACTGGCAACAAGGCCAGTCGTGCTTATGGCAACAAGGCCAGCCTTGCTTATAACAATCAATTGGCAACAATGTGGCTTAACAAGCTGGCAACAAGGTCTGCCTTGTTTATAAGGCCGCCTTGCTTAACCAACCAACTGGCAACAAGGCCAGCCTTTGCTTATACCAATCTAACTGGCAACAAGGCCAGCCTTGCTTATAACAATCAACTGGCAACAACGGAGGTTGTATACCTGGCAAAAGGATTTTAACTTTTCCTGTTTTTCAACTGGTTGGCAACAAGACCAGCCTTGTTTATAACAATCCAACTGGCAACGTTTTTGTATCCGCTGTTGCTTTACAAGGCTGTGTTATAAAAAACACTGTGTTGTTTGTTTATTCCTAACCAAGCTGGCAACAAGGCTGATTCTTTTCTCTATAACAACCAACTGGCAACAAGGCCATAATTATAAGATGGAGGCCTTGCTTATAACAATCCAACTGGCAACAAGGATTGGCAACAAGTGTTAGGTTTACTGCAAGGTAGGCAACAATGTTGTTCATTAAGTCTAGACCCAACTGTCAACAAGTTTACCCTTTTTAATTTAGTATTGGAGGCCCGCCTTGTATTTTTTTATACCAAGTTTAATTTGCCCTCTTCCACTAGTTTCATTATATATTATCTTTCTAATTTATCTATTTTAAAATGGGTTAGTCATGTTCAGTCTGGTCTGTCCTCTTCGACCTTACCATTATGGGTGGCCCTACAAAAGTTTGTACTCCAGACAGTTCCACTCTGGTGATGACTCGGACAAGTAAGCTTTCTACCATGACAAGGAATGGCCTTACATATTTTACACTGCATGTCGTTATCAAATGTACCACTTTGACTTACTGTAATGACAAGATATCGCAAAATACATTCGAATGCTTGAAGGTGGTCATCAGTGATGAAAGCCGTCTTCATCGCTGATTTCGGGGTTCTTATTCATCATATCAGTTCCGACAGCCACCCCCGACCTGTTATCTTATTCTACAGGTCGCCACCATGTAAAGAATTGTGCTAGTGCTCATGACAGAATTTATACTCTCAGCTCTTAAATAAAAAATAAAAAAATAAACAAAAACAAAAATAAATAAATAAAAATAAAAACCAACGGAAGCGTTCAAAATTATTTGCTCTGTCCCAATTAAAATATTAACGATACATTTAGCTGTACACTGAGATGGGCGCGTCTTTTTTTTTTCTTTCCCCCTCCCTCTCTCTCTCTTTTTTTTTCTTTTTTTCCTCCTTTTTCCTTTTCTTCCTTCCAAACAGAATTATATACATTGCTTGCTTCGCACCAATTAAAAAAAGTAATCTTTTTCAAAATTAACTTATACTACTTAATTTAAAAACATTAACAATATGTTTGGGGTGGTTAGGTTTTAACTTGTTAAAGTTTTATATATCGTATGTAATGGATTGATTTTACGTATTTACAGTTAAAATATATCAATGGTACCGGGAGGGACGGATGAAATATTGATTTGAAATAAATGAACAATTTATATGGTAGAAATGGACCTGAAATGATTAAAATGATTTACTAAATAATAACTATAATTTAAAAAAATCGGGTGAATTTATTATTAATTTAAAATAAATGGAATTAATTCTAAATATCGTTTAAAATAAATTTTATATTATTAAAGTTAAAATATATTAAATTAAACTAAAGAAAAAAACGAATTAATTCTAAATTATTAATTTTTAAAATAAATCGAAAATATCGTCCGTATGGTATAAATGAATTTTATTAATGTTAAATTGTGTGGATTGATTTTAAATTATGTTACATTAAAATATAATAACATTATCGTATGAAAGGGATAAATTCTAAATTATGATAAGTTCCAGTACCTGAACAATATCGGATGTTAAGTTAAAATATTTTATGTTGCATGAAAAATTATCGAGAGTTTGTGAGTTAAATTTAACTAATAAAACCTACGCAAAACCTATTTATTCGCAAGCAATGTAAATCCAGATAAATTTTTCAATACTGTGGGGTGATTTTGTATATAGCTTTTTAGGGATTGTTTTCCATTGAAATATTCCCCCACTGATCGGATCCTTTAATCCATATCTATTTAGAGGCTGTCAGAGCTTCATTTGAAATTTTCTTAACGGCTTTGGCTTTAGCTGATCCCACAATCCCTATTTTCCTAAAAGCTTTGCATAATGACTGGCCTACAAAGCCACGGCATCCTACTTCCACAGAGTCATATGTGACCTTCCAGGAATTTTGCTGACACTTTTTGATCAATTCTTGATATTTTGACCGTTTCCTTTCGTTTGCTAATGTCAGGTATTCTTCCCAGGGGACTGTGAGCTCCCATATTATACAGTGTTTGGTGGAGTTGGAATAGATAATCAAATCTGGTCTGAGTGGTGTTTCCGCTATATGTCTGGGGAACTTTAGTTGTGTCTTCAGGTCTGTATCCAAATGCCAATCATTTGCTGACGATAACAAGTTTGTTTTGGGGATCGTTTGTTTTTTCTTTGTTCCCTCTTTAACGAAGGAAATTAATATGAACTTCTTATTCAGTTTGTATTTAGAAGTTTTCATTGACTTCATGTGCTATTGCCTTTAAGACTTGGCGTCAACGGTATCTACCGTCACTCAAGGCTTTAGCGCAGCTGCTTAGGATATGTTGCAGTGAAGCGCGTTTCCCACATAATTGGCAATTTGGGGTTTCCCTTTTGACCCATAAATATAAATTGGATGGGTTAGGTAGCACATCGTATACCGATTTTATTAGGAAACTTATTTCACCAAAGTTTGACCGCCAGTAGTCTGACCAGCTGATCTTTTTCTGTTCGACACCCTGCCATTTTGTCCATGCTCTCTGTGAACTAAGTCCCACCATCTTGCAGTATCTCGTTTCTTCAATCCCTGCTCGCACTTCTTGGATTAGTTGACGTTTTTCTTTCCCTTTGGCTCTGTTTATTTGGGGTCAAGGAAAATAACCGAGACCCGCTCTACCTTTAGCGATAGCGTCAAGAATTCCTTTATGCCGTAATCTATCCTCTGCTATCTCCAACTCCTTTTCTGCACGCCATTTTCTCCTCGTTCGAGATTGAATACATGCTGCAACCACTTTTGGGTCTTTTGATTCTTTACATTGCAGCTGTTCTCTTACTCTTGTGACTTTAAACTCCTCTACCAGACTATTGAAAGGAAGCTGAAGAGCATTACTCCTGCCGTAGAGTGCTGCTGTGCACAGACACTTCGGAACTCCCAACCATCTTCTCAGGCACCTAGTTATAAATTTCTCCAGTGATTCTACACTGGTCATTGGGAATTTGTACATCAAAAGTGGCCATAATATTCTGGGTAACATGGCGTGCTGGAATAACCAGGATTTAAATCGACCTGGTAAGACTGATTTATCTATCTTATTGAGCCACTGTGTAAGGTCTTTAGTTGTCTGCTCAATAGCCACAGTGTCTCTTAGACTGCCGTCAAAAAACTTACCCAGGCTCTTAACAGGTTTTTCGTTTAAGGTCAGGATAGTAACACCGGATATTTTAAAATGATATTTCTCCATTATTTTTCCTTTTTTTTTTAATGACTAATGATCGGGACTTAGCTGGCTTAAAAGTCATTCTGGCCCATGTAATTTTTTTCTCTAAGCCCTTCAAGAGCCATCTTCCTCCTGTTACGGATGTGCATGTTATGGTTAGATCGTCCATGTATGCTCTAATGGGGGCGCTGGCGAATTCCTGACTTAGAGAGGGGGCCTCTACACTCTACTTCAGATGCTTTGACCAGCATATTCATAGCCAGCGAGGGGACAGCGTCACCCTGTGATGATGCCTTTCTCCAGATACTATTCTTGCCGATTCTCTAAGCTGAAAGTTGTTATTAGTCTGAAATTAGACCACTAATTGAAGAGGGAACGTAATGCCTTTTTACAGCTTCTTCCACGAGCTTATGAGGCATGGAACCATACGCATTGGCAAGGTCTAACCACAGAACTGTCAGATCGTTTTTCTTTTCTCTCGCATTTCTTATCAGCTGCGTAAGTACGCCTGTGTGTTCTTGGCACCCTGGCATTCCTGGGATACCACCTTTCTGGACAGATTTATCGATGTAATTGTTCGCCAATACGTATTTAGTAATACGTCTTGATAATACACCAAAAAAGATCTTACCTTCAGTGTTCAAGAGGGATATTACTCTAAATTGGTCCAATGTTGTGGACTTCTCTTCCTTGGGAATCCATACCCCTTCTGCATGTCTCCATTGTTCGACTACCTTGCCTTTCCTCCAAATGATCCTTATTAATTTCCATAATTTCCGGAGACTCCCTCCACGTCTTTTATAGACTGTGTACGGCACTCTGCTCGGCCCTGGTGCTGAAGCAGATCTTGATGCTCTCACCACTTCTTGGATTTCTTTCCAGGTGGGCATACTTATATCAAATGGACTTACTGGCGGTTTATGTATTATGAGACTGTCGTTCTTATAAAGGTCTTGTTCCTTTAATGGATCTTTCATGGATTCCTTGAGGAAAGTATTAATTTCTTCTGCAGATGCCTCTAGTTGTCCGTTCCAATTCTCTCCTAATAACTTCTTAGCAAAACCGAATGGGTTAGACAAGAAACTTGCTCGCTTTCTAGTTCTTTCCTTTCCCTTTCTTCTGTGCCACTCGGCTCGTCAGGTATTTTTCAGCTTCTCCCTCAGTATTGCACGATGTTCCTCCAGAGGCTGAGGCGATCCTCACTGTTCGCTTTCCTGTAAGCTTTTTTAAGGGATCTTAGCTCCTTTCTGATCTCTTTAATTTTCTTTTCTCTTCGGTTAGTGGTGGTGTTTGGCTTTGCTATCTGTTTAGATTCAACATAGCCAAATCTTTCGGATCCCATGCTGGTTATTATTGTGGTCATATATTTTAACTGAAACCAGCTTCCTTGGCTGGCTAGTTGCAATAGTTCGCAAATGCCGTTATCGAAATTCTGCCAGGCCTCCTTGTTGTAAGCAGGCGGCCATTTGATTCTTCTCCTCGACTCCATGCCTAGAAAAGAGGAAACCTGAGCTTGGAGGGATTGGACTCTGTGGTGCGACTCCTGGTCCTTCCCCTCTCAAGGCATTTCATCCGGCCTTGGTGGATTCGTAGGCATCGATGGTTTTTGCACAACTTTCCACAAATGCATTCTCTCGAATGTGGTTGGGCGTCTCCGTTCGTTGTCAAAGAATCAGTCCTGATAGAGATCTCTTCCCCCCCCCTCTCAGGATCTCTCAGGGGTATATTAAACTTTGAGTACTCATAGCACATTGTAGGGTTGCTCCTAAAGAAGCTTGCATTTGGGGTAGCTAACCCTGCCCGCCCCTTTTACTCGTCTTTCCGAGATGTCATCTGTCTCTCTAGTTGTCACCAGTTCTCTTCCCCGGTCGCCAACTGGTCTATACCCAGTCGTCACTGTTAAAAACAGAAATAGATATCGCAAAATACATTCGAATGCTTGAAGGTGGTCATCAGTGATGAAAGCCATCTTCATCGCTGATTTCGGGGTTCTTATTCATCATATCAGCTCCGACAGCCACCCCCGACCTGTTATCTTATTCTACAGGTCGCCACCATGTAAAGAATTGTGCTAGTGCTCATGACAGAATTTATACTCTCAGCTCTTAAAAAAAAAATAAAAAATAAAAAAATAAACAAAAACAAAAATAAATAAATAAAAATAAAAACCAACGGAAGCGTTCAAAATTATTTGCTCTGTCCCAATTAAAATATTAACGATACATTTAGCTGTACACTGAGATGGGCGCGTCTTTTTTTTTTCTTTCTTTCTTTCCCCCTTCCCTCCCTCTCTCTCTCTTTTTTTCTTTTTTTTCCTCCTTTTTCCTTTTTCCTTTACCTCCTTCCAAACTGAATTATATACATTGCTTGCTTTGCACCAATTAATCTTTTTCAAAATTAACTTATACTACTTAATTAAAATACATTAACAATATGTTTGGGGTGGTTAGGTTTTAACTTGTTAAATAATAATAGAAACGAACCGCTTAATAAAAAAAGAATAAAATTAATAAAAAGTATAAAATTATCATTAAATATATGAAAAGATTTTTTTATTATTTTTATTGGTAAAAATAAATATTTGTGAGACAAATAATAAAGGAAGAAATTCTCTACTGAACAAAAAAAATAAATAAATAAAACGCACAACATTACATGTTGATAAAACTAAAAGTACATTTTGGTTTCATTATCCTGCCCCTCCCTTTATGCTAAGGTAGATTAGTTAGTAAACTTGACCAACTAACAAAAGTCTTTTTGCTTTCTTTTTTTTTTTTTTTTGAAGTAATCGTCATTCCTGCGTCAGGACAAAGAAAGAATTTAACTTTTATCTGTAATAATTTTTTTTTAATACTGCCATACATACCAAACACATGTATTCCAAGAGGTTTGTTGAAGGCTATTAAGTCTTCTGAAAAGGATAAAAAAGAAGGAATTATTAAAATGGCATTATCGATTTTATAATATCAAACACAATAGGACTTTATTGGTCATGCGGCCTCATCTTCCTTACTTATTAATGAAATATGCTATTGTTCTGGTTAAGAGTTGAGAAATTATAATTATTAGATAGTGGCAATTGAATATATCCCACGAAATTGTAATGGTTTACCATTTTTTATGTGGGTGTACTGTTGAAAAAAGAAGGAAAGTCTCAAGCTATCACGGTAAGGTTATCCCTCCAACACCCGAAAACAGAAAAGTTATCTGTTGCCACCATATTGAAACATCCTCGCCACTACTCAAAAAATGATTCTGTTTACATGCCATTTTCCCCAGGGGGAAGCAACTTCTGAAAACAATATGCACAGTTATCTCCCTTGTGCTATCGAGAGGAAATATATCTTTATTTTATTGTGATTTTTCCATGCGTAGCTCAGATGTGGCACAAGGCCGAAAGTATTGGGCACCCAGTGAGGATCGAACTCACTACTCAGTCGTAATTGTTCTAGCGAGACAAGCTTACTAGCTATTACACCGCCTCGAGGTGCCCATATCTTTATTGTAACAGGAGTTATTACTTCACAGTTTTGGGCACCTCGGCGTGTTCTAATGTTTAACATTAACAAGCTTGTCTCGCTAGATCACTTACGACTGAAAAGGTGCCCTATACTTTCGGCCTTGTGCCACACACTTAGAAAAATAACCATTATGACAGCTGACACCAACAAATTGCTTATTGATTGGAGTTTTACATACCCTTTGTGGGTTAAAGCCGAAACAAAATACTTAATGAGTTCTGTCTTTTTTTTAACTAATAAATATAGAGAAGCTGACATTTTATTTTCGCAAAATTTCATAAAATTAAGTACCGTATTTGACGGAATATAAGGCGCACTTTTTTTTCTTTTTTATTAAAAATATCATTTAAAATTCCCCTGCGTCTTATATGGCATATGTGGGTTTACTAATTTTACTAATTACTAATTTTTCTTGATTTGCTGTGCTGAAATGGGTGGTGCGTCTTACACTGTCAAACACGGTAAGTAAAAAAAATATTTTTACCAAGATTTTCTAAAAAAAGAAAAAAAAAAAAAACAAACAAACATAAAAACTGAAAATTTCATTAAAATTAGAATTAGATTATCTGATTTTTGTGAGAATTTCAAAACAATTAAAATTTAAAAAGGTGAAAAGTTTCCTCTTTGGTCCAACCGCTGACGCAAGAAAAACAAAATTTTTAACCAAAATTTCGAACGTGATAGAAAGGATTAAAAAATTTAATAAAATAATCAAAAACTATTTTGTTTTTTTCCTCTTCTTAATAATAACAAAGATTTTGACGATAAAACTTTGTTTTTAATCAAATTTGGGGCCTTTTTTCATCATTGTACGCTCTTTTTTTCAGAAAATAATGGCGGTATGAGACATTAATGGTCAACACGATTTTTGGTGCCTAGAAACAAAACACGTTTTTTAGCTAATTTGATGATGCTGATTCCGAAAATGACCTTAGTTTTTCATGGTTAGCTAGCATTTTTGCTGTACTGAAATTGCTCTTTTTTGGAAAAAAGATCAATTTACTATCTTGGCTGATCGCAAAATTTAGTTAATAAAGAATAAAGATCGCAGAAAGTAAACACATCAATTTTCAAGTAGGCCGAGCAATTTATGTCAACCACCTGAAAACCTATTTTTATAAGAAAAAAGTGTCTTTGAATTAAATTATAAATAACATTCAACATGACAGACAATCAAGAAAGAGAAAATTTTTACTAGTTCTTATGTCCACGAAGGTTTTATAATGATTCGATGAAAATACTTATTGGTCTTGGAATATTCAATCGTGTTATTTTTAAAGACTTAGGGTCTGATTGTTATTGCAAAAATAGTATTTCTCAATGAGCAAACCAATATTTGTTGGTTTAAATACAAATTGAGAGATTTTATTTTGAGAAATATTACCATCGATCAATATCATATACAAAGACAACGAACGAAAAAAATGCTTTTTTTCCCCAAAAAATGAGGCATTTCTGTACAGTGTACAGCAAAAACGGTAGCTACCCAAGAAAAAATAAAGTCATTTTCAAATTCATCGCCCTCAAATTAGCGAAAAACATGTTTGGTGTCTCGACACCATTTCAATTTTTTCTTTATTGACCAATGTGTGTTATTTAAAGTTTATAATAAATAAACCAAATCATTTTAAAAAATGCTTACGATCTTCATAGATGACGGAATCAATTATCTGTTTGCACAGAGCGACTTCTTTCAATGTTGCAGGAATTCCGTACTCAGTATCCACACAATCTGAAAGTTTGCATCGCGAAAAGACAGAAGGACGATTCGTTTGCGAAGACTTGAATCTACAAGGAATTCTTACAAAGTCCATCAACAAATGACTGTCCGATATTGATGCAGCTATCTTATTCTGTTGGCTTGAGAAAGGAATCAAACGACCCTTTTTTTGACCGACGGCAACCAAATTAAAAGAAGACACATTCCTAGAAAGGGTTGGTTGAAGAAGAAATAATGGTTTTTCTTTCCTTATCATTTCCACGTGCAAATCCTTGCTGCCCTTGAGACAAGTTGACAAACGACACAAAGAAAAATTCGAGCGATGCGACGTGTTTATCAGTCGATTTAAACATGTTAAATTACCTGGATGGACCATTTTGACAAAACTGCATTTGTTTTGAATTCGGATATATAAAATTACTTAAATTACAATCAAATATGTAATAATAACTTTTGTTTATGTGAATTTCGCCGGTGTTAAAATATGACGTCCGGTGAAAACAAAATAAAATCCCTTTTTTTAAAAGGCGATATTGTTCAACTGGGTTATTCCCCTTGCAACATTCATGCAGATAAGAAGCAAGCGATGCTTTCCACAAGTTTTAAATAATTACGAAAGGAAAATTTCGTTAAAAACAAAGAAAAGTGTACTTAACTATTTATGTAGTATCGGTGAATGCTAGACAATCCCCTCACAGAGGAAGAAAAGACATAAGGCAACAGAAATGTGGTTCTACAGAAGGATGCTGAGGATGCTATGGACTGATTGGAAACTAATAAATAACAAAGGAAAATATTATAAAAAATGAAAATAACTGATAATGAGAATAAAATTTCAAGACAGTAATTTTTAGGGATTGATAAATAGAATTATCACAAAATTTATGTTATTTATTAACACTTGTAGCCTAAAATGTTGTTACCTCCACTAAAGTGGAAATTTAAACACAGGATTATAATGTCCTCAATGGGAAGTAACTTCTGTTAGATTTTTATTATTTTTCAATGTCTATATTGTCCAACTGTACTTCTTTTATTTTAATAATTTCATTTTCATTTTCATACATTATTGATCTTCATTTAATGAGTTCTAGAATAACTGTTAATTCTACATCTGGCATCAGTCTTACAAAATATGAGAACTGAACCATCTTGTTAAACACCACAGGAAATCAAATTATTTTTAATTGCTATTTCTTACCATATTATTGACAGAAATACAATTTTCAGCATATATTTATTTTATAATTTTATTATATGTATTTTAAAGTTAGTTTTTATATTGGCGTATTTATTTCCCTTGGACCATAATTTTATTCTTCTAAATTGCTATAGTTAGATATTGAATTAATTCAATAATTAAATTTATTGGAATTTCAGGAAATTTAGTATAATTTGAAAATATTATGTGCTTAATTTATTTATTTCTGAAATATAGATCAATTACACAACTAGAAAACCCTAAATACTTGAATTTTCAATCATCAAGTAGAATTTAAGTGTTTTCAACATTTATGTCATTGTCACCAAATGAAAACTGTCTACATAATTATTTCTCTTTTTGTGATGTGGATAGCTGCAATATATTAATTTCAACGTTGTTTCAGAGATTTCTCCCATATAATATCTACACAATCTTTCCCTGTATCTAAGTCTAACCCTCCTCATACCAAACACAACTGTATTGATTGTAAATAAATTATAGCAGTGTTTATATAATATTATATATGTTTATATCATTATAAACAATTATAACAGTGCTGTTTTTTGTAGAGTTCAAATGAACATGTAGATAAGAAGAAGAGACGTTATTAACTAAAATGACATTGTAAAGTACTATAGATGTAAAGTAAAATCTATGAAAATGTGCTGTTAATATAAAATAATAGTCTGAGGTATGCTACAATTAAGAAAAATATAGTTGAATTAGAGTGAAAGAAAACGTGAAGATGACTGAAGTAGATTTTTAATTTAATGGCTAGTGTTTGAGTCTAACAGACCATTACTATTCTGAAGTGAGTTTGGTCCATACTGAGTACTCTATACTTTCAGTTTTGATTTTTTTCATACCAAAGGTGAGCATAAAGAAAGGGACAAAAGGAGGGAGGGTGATTTTCCAGCCAAGTCACTAAATTTGTATATTGGTCCCTTTATTTTTTCGCATATTAATGTCTTCATTTTCCTCTCATTTGTCTTCTGTTTTTTTTTTATCTTTTTATCTTGATTCTTCAGTTTATCCCTTTAGCATATGGAATAGAATTTTAAAATTCAAAATTAATCAAAAGTATATCATAGCAACATTCCTGCTGATGTTGTAATAAAATGTTCAACATATAGTTTTATTATTTTTTTTATTAAAAAGAATTCTTTTGCTATACTTTTCCCCACTTTACAGAATAAAAATAAACAATGGCTCAAATATCGTATATGGAATGTTGGCACTCAGACAAGAATTCCACATATATTGTTTAATTACTGCCATTCAAAGTATATATAAAATAGTTAGGTTATGTTTGCATGCCTGTCATATTTCATTTTTTTTTTTTGCCATATTCTTTAAAAAAAGATTCTGAAAATAAAACCATTTTATCTTGGTAAAAAAAGTTTACAGAATATGTTTTTTTATGTCAATTGACAAGTTTTACTAAGTAGTCAAGACCAGTTATGACATCATTTTTTACCATAGCATTATTTCTGCATTTGTAGCAATCTTAGTGCCCAATGAATTGGCATATTTGTATGCACTCAGTAAACAAATATGAATTAGATTTGTATTAATTAGTTTGGTCAATAAAAAAAGTCAATTATTCCTTTATTTCCAAATCCATTTTTTCTGTTGATGGTATAGCAAGTGTTTATATTTATATATATTTAAACGAGTTTTTTGTTGCACAAAACTTAATAATAGCAAGGAATAAGCATAATTTAAAAAGCATATCAATGTAAATTTAATAGCTAAAAAAAACAACCGGTTTTGTCCAAGTCTTATTAAGTTTAATTCTGTGAAATAAAATAATAGACATGTCAATTAAATATGACTAATGAAGGGAGGGGGGGGATTCAAGGAAAACTAGAGACCAATAATATTCAGACCCAGCAAACAATCCCTCTGCTTACAGAGGGAAGGCTTACAGGATCTGATATATAAGGACTCCAGAATTTGAGATGATATGAAGAGTGGGACTTTGAGAGAATAGAAAAACGGTCCACACTAAAGTCAGTAATACAAATCCTGTTATTAATAATCTGTTGTGCAATAGATGAATCGGATATGTTAACTAGTTGACTATTCTATTGCTAATGACCAGATTCAAAATCCTGGGAGGTAAAGGCTGCTTTATCCTATAATCCAAATGTTGAGAAGTCCTCCCTATGTAGTTGAGTTCACAACTACATTCATATTTGTAAATAACTGAGTTAACATGATGGGGGAGGGCATCCTTATGAATGGAAGAAAGAATAGGTCAAGTAATAAATATTACTTGAACATTAGCAGAAAAATAACAACTGTTGATTGCAAACGAAATTTGCATAGCTAAAGACTTACCCTCTGAATGGATAAAGATAAGACACAAATAGACAGGACATTTTTTAACAAGATGTGGCTTAACCCTATGAAAATTATTGATGACATCACGGATAACAGCACCTGAAACATCCAAAGGATATCTATTTAAATAAAATCAGTTTCACTGCAGAGAAAGCCTTCAGAACAGATCATAAGAGCCCTATGAGTTAGGGTCTTAATCAAATTTATCTTACCAGAGCTCATATTGCAATTTTTGCTGTTATCATTACATCATTTTTATCAGAGCTCATATTGCAATTTTTGTTGTTGTTATTATCACTTTTCACTGGCACTCCTTATTACTGGTTCCCATATTATATTCATTTGAATGCTTGGTCAGCTCAGGAGATTTTGGTGGCCTAGTATATGTGCTGATTCCTTAAGCTTACGAATTTTCCAATGCTGTTCTTTGTCTATGATCTCAACCTGATCCCACAGAGGGCGGTGATGTCCCTTTTCTTTCCATATGTGGTCAGCCATGTCTGATTTTTCCACTTCCCCTCATGTTACAGCTTTTTGATGTTCTTGAAGCCTTACCTTAAGGAAGCAGCCTGTCTCTCCTTTATATTTGTTTCCACAGCTGCACAGGATAGCATACACACACTCTTTAGTCATGTCCTCATCTATACGGGGTCTTACTCAGGAGAGATATCTGCAAAGTGTCGTCAAGCTTTTGAAGGTTGTCCTGATGTTATATGGACTGCAGATCCTTTGTATTTTCAAATACAAATACAAAATATAAATGATCTGACAGAACCCAAACAGTTCTGAGTTCAATATCTGGTTAAGGCAGTGGAGAACTTTGAGAGAGGAATTAACAGGAGATAACTGATAACTGACTTCTATTAGACATAGCACATGGAACTAGAACAGTCTACCCCAGTGAACGAAATAAAGGGTTCAGTTCAACATTCCAACCACCTGAAGAAGGTCAGAGCATACAATGGCTGAAACGTTGTGATAAATATGGCAACAAAGATGAGGACAATAGTCCAAATAATGTAATTAGTATGTTATCCAAGTCTTCAAGAATATCTGTTCAACAGTACAAACTGCATTAAGTGTTAATAAGAGACGTATAAGTGGAAGGCTCGGTCGTAGGTGAAGCTGAAGCTGATGACAATGAGTTACCAACCCCAGGAAATGTATGCAAAACCTCTTCTGCACTGAGAGAAGTGAGTTTACTTGTCGAGTTGGCTAAGTCAAATGGTATCTAGTCAAATGGTATCAGTGTCACCAAAAGTGTCACCGGTTTTTGGATTAGATGAATTTGGAATTGGAGATATGCTCACACCTCCTTGAAAAATCAATTATCAAATCATTTGGATAACTGAAAATGCAAAGTTATTTAAATCAACAAACTTTACATTTGACATATTGTTGTCACCATTATTATTACTACTAAATCTTTGTAACTAATGTAATTATTACATTATGTTATTGTTTACTAAAATCTACCTTTAAGAAAAATCAACATTTACATATTCTCAAAGTTATTGCTGTATGTATGAATGAAATTCTGTTTAAACAGATCTTCATGTCTATATTTAATTAGTAGCATTTAATTTTAATAAGTAAATGTTTTGTCATATTTTTCATTATTAAAACACATCAGGGTTGACAAAAGAGCATTTCTAGGAGGAATATTTTACAGTATATGGATTAGCATACTAGTTACATCAACAGTA